CTTCGGAAAATAAACTACTGATTTACAAGCAAATACTTCGGCCAATACTTTTATATGGATGTCCAGTCTACTGCTCCATGGCGAACACTCATTTCAATACACTGCAAGTCTTTCAAAACAAGTGTCTTCGGCTGGCCCTAGGGTATGACCGTTACGCCAGAATACACGATATGCATGTGCAAGCATCTCTTGAGACTGTCAAAGACCATGTAACACGAATCTCGGAGGGTTTTTATGATAAATGCCTGCCGCCAGAACTGAAAAATCATATCACATCTATTTATCATGGTGATGGCATTGACAGACCTCACGGATGCCTGCACAAGGCACTGTCAATTTACACACGGGATCCAAATTAAATTCATAACAACAGACGTACATCCTCCATAGCAGCGTAAACCCCACTGAATACTCAAATTACAACGTCGACTAGTTAGCAACTTTGGTCGGACGGACGACTGCATGGTGACGTCACGGCCTGATGTGAGAATTCGTGGCTTGCTGCGATCCTCGTATTGGAATGTGCTGCTGCTGTGTAGTCCTGTAATTTGAATTTTCATGCACTAAACTACCACAAGACGCACTTACATACAATGACAACCCTGTTTTTTACGATCGGTTTTTCAGGGAAATACAGACATAAGTAAATTCACACAAAAACCCACTACTTTTCCATTACCGTCCATGTAAGCTCATCATAATTGACTTATTATGTTGTTATTTCAACAAGGTGAAGTCATCCATTCATAATAATAAATGATAACGGTTATCCACGCGGCCATAACATCGGTCGTGGTCTCCTCCGGGGATCACAAGAAGTGAACACTTCCCATTACGTGCTTCTGAGAAGAAATCCTTCAATTTTTTAAGTTGTTAATCTGTTATTATGACAAATTTGTACATATTGTAAATAAAAGCCAGTTTGAAATGAAAAATGACCCGTCGAAAATTGGATTTTGGTCGGTGGCTAACACTGTGGAGGCTTGAGATTGGGCTAATCACCCTCCTAACCTACCCTAACAACCCTTAATGACGCACATACATATAAGGACAACCCTGTTTTTTACTATGGTTTTTCAGGGACAACAAACATAAGTAAATTCAGACAAAAACTCATCACTTTACAATTATTGACCTAGCAAACTCATCCAAATTGACTTATAATATTGCTTCAATAAGGAGAAGTCACATCACGCATAATTTGTTAATTGTAATACGGTCAAATACACGGCCACAACAACGGTCATGACCCCTTCTAGGAGCCATCGCAGAGCGGAACACTTCACGGAGCATCACGAGAAGAAATCCTTCTGTAAATTACGTATTAGAATGTATTATAAATGTATATACTTGTAAATATTTTAAATAAAGAATTTTGAAATGAATGAATGGCAACTAAATTTTTAATAAATGATTTTAAAATGAAATGAAATGAAAATTCATGGCTTGCCGGAATTCCTGCGTTGTGTGATGGATTAATTGTGTAGTCTTGTGATTTTACTAATTCATGCACATAAACTACCACAAATGACACACATTTTAGGACAACCCTGTTTTTTCAACTGGTTTTTCAGGGACGACAGACAAAAGTAAAATCAACAAAAACTTAACATTTTACCATTACTGATCTGGTTAATAGCCTATATTGACCTATAATGCTGATTTTAGCAAGGAGGGGTCACATGAAGTCATAACAAAAACTAATATATTTCTAATTCACGGCCAAGACATCGGTCATGGCCCCGCCTGGGGACATTGCAGAAGAGGAACACTTCCTGAAGTCCTTTAAGAAGAAATCCCTCTGTTTTTTTATGAATTAAAAATATTATTAGAAATGAAATGTATATATATTGTAAATAAACGACTTTTGAAATGAATGATGATGATGAAATGAAGTGAGGTTTGACGTTTGACTTAACACTACATTCAAGCCCAAGCTTATTGTGAATTATTGATTATTCTATTGCGTACGCGATTATAGCCGCCAAAAGTGTGTTTGGGCTACTTTGTGCATTTGTGTTTGGTCTCTTTTTACTTAAATAATATGTGACTAAAACCAGAGAAGGAATAATAGTGGAGTTTCTGTTACCGATGTATCACGTACCTGGAATAGTTTCTACAGGTAATAAATGAATATTGGTTTATATACATAGAACATTAATATCCTGTTTCTTCTTAATAAGAATAATTAAATGAAGTAAAAGTAAACATCTTGATATAAGATTTAATTCAGTTATTCGTCAATATTTTTTTAATTTTATGGAGATTTCGAGAACTATTGATATCAAACGCCACATGTTAGATAGCCATTTTGAGTGAAGTTAAAGTAAAATTGTTAAAACAGGCGATTAAGTATAATAGCTCATCTTGTCTTTAATGATTTGTTATAAAAATTGATTTAAAATTTTAAGAAATTAATTTTTTGTTTTGTTTCATAATTGTTCTTTCCGTTTTTACTAACTTTTACAAAGCATAACTTCCTGTGACTATAATGCTCTTACCTAAATTTATTTTTAGGAGCGACTATACAAAGGCAACTTCAAATCAAAAAGAAAGAAAAAAATCAATCCAGTTATGGATAAAGAGGAGTGATCGAATGTGCTACAAAGAAAATAACTCTTAGTGACCTGTGATTAATAGATATTTTATTAATAAATATTTTTAATTCTATTTTTTGCATTCTTTATAACCTGCAAGGTTATTCTACTAATTTTAATAACCAAGATGCACGATAAATTATGGCTTCACAAGACCATTATAAGCCATTAATAAGTCGTCTTAAAGACCTCTTATTTATGGCTTATTTAAAGCTTCACAAGACCATTATAAGCCATTTATGAGACGTCTTAAAGACGTCTTATTTATGGCTTATTTAAAGCTTCACAAGACCAATATAAGCCATTAATAAGACGTCTTATTTATTGCTTATTTAAGGCTTCATAAGATCATTATAAGCTATTAATGAGCCGTCTTAAAGACGTCTTATTGACGTCTTATTAAAGGCTTCATAAGACCATTACAAGATATTAATAAGTCGTCTTAAAGACGTCTTATTTATGGCTTATTTTAAGCTCTACAGACCAATATAAGCCATTAATAAGACGTCTTAAAGACGTCGCTTTTTGTAACATCAGACGTCTTCTAAGACGTCTTAAAGACGTCTTTCAGGAAATACCAGACGTCTTAAAGACGTCTCGAATGTCTTATGCTAGACGTCTTAAAGACGCCTTTAAGACGACTTTGTGCTATCTGGGAACATGCACGTAATGAGATCTCATAATATACACGTGTGCGTTTTGATAAGAAAACTTAAATTTCTTAGTTTAATAAAATTGCAATCAAATTTATATCTACGTAAGACTTTATTTGGTTTATTTACATAAAGTTAGTCAATTTAAAAACATAAAAACTTTTAGCATTAGCGAAATACTTTAAAAAAGTTATTCCCCTAAATGTCGGCAACACATTATACAATTTTAAAAAACTAGGTCGCGTTTTCTTAGCATGCAATGGAAATAAACGTCGTTTCGTTTATATTGTCAATTTTTGTAACAAAATATTATTGTATTCTAACATTTTCTCAACTTTACCTACGAATATGTCTGTTAGTAGTGAAAGTGATGAAATTATGAGCACTCCACCGGAGATTTTAGAAAATGCTCAAGCTGCTACACATAATTTGTTACCGCTAAAATCCAAAGAAAGTTATTGAGAGAAGTCACACCAAAGCACCGCTTTGGGTAAGATCTCCGGTTCGATAAAAATAAAACACTATTTAACACAAACTGATTTATTCTCCGACAAGCTGAGACGTGAGAAACAATACAACCCTTTCAGCGACTTATTACAAACTAATTTACTAATTATAAGGATTATTTTAGAGCAGAAGCTCCTGCTAATAACAAAACTATTGCAAATTGTTGCGAATAACCGGAGAATGGCGGATGGCCGATAGTCTGGAACATAGAGCGCCGTTGCCAGATCCGTCCAGATTCTTAATAACTAAGGAAAAACTGAAAAATTACATTTGTCTCTAACAAAAGTTACGAAATTACCTATAAATTTATGGACTGGCGACACAAGCATATGCCCTTTATTTAATAGAAGAAAATAAGTGGGCGTAGAAAAAGTATAGTTAAACGAGTTGTAAGCCCATTACGCACTCGTGAAATTTACGCACTCACTGCTGCGCGACTTCGTGCGTAAACTTTTTCACTTCGTGCGTAATGGGTTACTTACAACTCTTGTTAAGTAATATACTATAATATTACGAATGAAAAATAATGTCGTACATAAACCCCCTATGCTCACTTAAAAACTTAAAATAGCCTATATCAAAGTTGGCTACTTACATAAGGGATGTGTCAAATTTACATTTTTTTCGTTCAAAAATGGCCAGAAAACTCCATCTGCTTTTGCATAATTTTAATATTCGAAAAAAATAACCACACCGTCGAACATTATTGACAAAAATTGGCATACTGAATTGTTGTCTTCTCGTCCCTTTTAAGCTTTTTCAATGAATGCAAAATTATCAGTTACGGAGGTGCATCAAAAAATGATAAAAACTAAAATTTTATTAAAGTCGAAATATATTGTTCAAAATCGGTACGTTGAAGTAAAATGTAATTAGAAACAAGTTTCTCTAATAACTTTTTCATATTTAAAAAAGTAATTTTTGAACGATTTAAAAAATGCATACATTGTATATATCAATATAATCTATTGTATATTTGTATAACAGTGTGATATTACTTCTTTCATATTTTTACAATACTATCGCTGATCAGCCCGGCATAAAACATGAAAAATGGACGGTAGCCGATGCGATGGTCGTATCCACCTCTATAACTGTACCTTTGGAGCTGTATAATATAGCATTTTCTAAATCTACTCCAATCGGATATAATTGGCCCACCCTGTAATCTGTATATTGGTAAAGTTCAAACTTAAACAAATGAAAAATTTGATGTGTATATTAAAACAGTTTTCTTTTGCAGGTCCTAGTCATGGTAAACTAGTGGTATGCTATTTAGGAAGTTGGGCAGTATATAGAACTGGCAGGGGTTCATTCACCATTGAACATTTAGATCCAAACCTTTGTACTCATCTGATATATTCGTTTGCCGGTCTTAATATTAAAGAAGATTCTTTAAGATCACTAGGTAGGTAAGATAAAAAACATTTTATAAAAGTTGTTGATATTCTTCAATGAAAAAATAAGATTTTTTTTTGTTGATACATAAATTGAATTATTAAGAAGACCAAAATAAGAAAAACCAAGAAAATCTCAAAGCCACGTGTCAGAAAGTAATACAAACGATTATTTCCTATAGATTGTTTCCCTCAGAAAAACTAATTCTTCGTCTAATAATGCAACAGGCATTGAATTATATACAAAGAAAAACCTCAGATATATAAAGTTCTTTTTAACACTATAACTTTAATTTTAAGGAGAACGTCAATCAAAACTCGCTAGCAGTACATACCCAGCCAGTTCAAAAAATAGGTGGAATCAACGACGAAAAACTACTAGACTAATTTTGTTTACAGAAATCGAATTGCAAACAATTATGGTGTCATCCACGTAGTTGTCAAATTATTACGAGAGAGTATGGGAAAGTATTGTTACAAGGATTGTTTATGGTTATAATTCGGTATTTACTAAACATATTAGTCCAATTAAATAACGAAAAAAAGCCCCTTCGAGCTTACATTAATTTGTAATTGGATGAAACAAAGTGGAACTTATGCAATTTGATGTGATCTTTCCGAAAAAAAGCAAAAAAAGATGTAGCTGTTTTTCAAATTTTTTTTAATTAGGAAAAACTGGGTTTTCCGGAATTTTCCATGGTAAAAATGCTAATTATCTGGGCAAGTGTCATTCCGATAGTAAAAATAAATGCACCAATCGAAAGGGGAGGCAAAAATAGTTCGGAAATTCGTTGCACAGGTAGTTTTAATGGCGAATTTTTCGCCGCCAGAAAGAAGTGGTCTTACCAAAAAGTTGTTTTTTCTTTTCTTTGATCAGAACCATGGACATGAAATTTGCGATGAATTTGTGGCGAAATTATAAATGTTAGACGTATGTGCCCATGAAAGAAGTGGCCTATTTTCTTGTTGGCTCCCAAATAAAATAAGTCCCGCGGCGAAATCTGCCATAATTTTTCGGGAATTCGCAGGAAACCGGAAAGCGTAGTTTTTTTTTTTTAGTTTTTTCCCATATGATTTTCTCCGGGTTTTCCGAAAACATCTAACAAAAAAATATAATTAAAAAAACTAACTTCGACATCGGAAAGAGCACAAAAAAATACACAAAAAGGTATACTTTAAAAATGTTAGGAAATTAAGCCTATGTGTAAGTTCCAACTTGGTGATAAGCTTGTTTTTTGTTCTCTAACATCTGGTTTTTAGTTATTTACAAGAAAACTTGAAATGGGAAAAGATATAGGTATACGTATTTTCTAGTTACGTTCCGAATGAGACGGGTTGGGTGGCGAAATCTGCAATACTTTTTGAAAAAATTGCAAAACAATTTTTTCTTGATTTCTCGTACTTTTTTCTTAAATAACTCGAAAACTAATTATCTGAATAGAAAACTGTTTCCATCAGATGAAAGAGAAAACAAAGACACGAAAAACTGTGGCATATACATTTTTTCTAGCATCCACTGTTTTCTGAGCGCACGTGTGCAAAGATGGTAATTCTCGCGAGAATTGAGGCTACTCGAATTTTCTCGAGAAAAGGGGCGTTTTCTGGCAATTGGGAGAGAAAGTAAGCTTGTTTTTTATTAAACTTACTGATTCTTATATATTTTCAGTCTGTAAAGTGCCCAAATTACGGAAAAAATCGACAGTGTGCTTGTTTTTTCTCGAAAAAAAGGGAAAATGTTGGATTTAAGAGAAAACCACTCGTTTTACGAGCAATTTTCTAAGCACAAAAAATGCGTAATTTTCGGTTATATTTCGAATGTCATAGGTCGCATTGCAAATCTGCAATAGTTCGCGAAAACGTGGCCAAATTTTTTTTGAAATGTTTTCCCAATTTTTTCTCTTTCTTTGAATGAATCGACAAGTCGTTGTTCGACTCAACTAAATTTCTCACCATTTAAAAGAACACAGTGATAGAATTTTCTTAATTTAGGAACGTACTTACTCAATAAATTGCTGAAGAAGTCCGAAAAACCACGTGTACACAGAGCTTGCTGAATACGGTTATTAAAAATCTATGCAGATGAACACTATCAAGCGATTTAATTTGTAATAATATGACCGTTTGAAGTTTAAACTTGTCGGATAGCGAACGCCGAGACCATGGCTATCCTTGATGCGACGTGCGGCTAATTCTGCTGTAATTCTATATTTTGCACAAAACTCAAGAAACGTCTTATAACAAGTCAGTAAAATAGAATTTAATAAATTTTAAGTCTAATAAATTTAGGTATGTAAGAAATTTGAAACTGGAAATCGCAAAAAAATCAAATTACAGAAATGCAGTGTATACACGAGTTTTGGATCCCGCGAAGCGCGTGTAATGGGACTTTTGTCGGGAGAATTCTACAACTTAGAAGAAACATACACACTTTAAACTTTGTATACACATTTAGAAGTCATGAAATTTGAGTTTGCTCAATTTTCAGACCAAAAAACTGAAAATCGTCAATTTTAGGCAACTTTTCTCAAAAACCGTGTTTTTTGGTCGTCACTCAATGAACAATGGTAAAAAAATAGATAAAATAGTTTTGCAGAATTTTCCGTATTGTAATCGTACTCTAAACACAATAAAGTACTCAAAAAAAAGGTTTTGAGCCATTGAAGGCATTTTTAGCATTTTTGTGCCACTTCAAACTTTCGAAAAAAATTTAGTTTTTTTAGGAAAAAAAAATTGTTTAATTGTTTAATATATTGGCCAATTATAGTCCGATTTTGGTGAAATTCACACACACATAATATTTTACTTTAAAGAGTAAGCTCTGTAAGTGGCAATAAAAATTCAAATAGTTTGGCCGTTATAGGCAAACAATGATATTAGGCCCGCGGTACACTTTGCTCTTCCGCCGTATGCCCAATTTTAGGATTTTTCTTGCCCACCTCTGGGAATCAATAGTCACATCCCTTAAGTTCAAAACGCATTTTTGTTTTTTCAAATATCTTAATTTTTACCAAAGTTATGAAGAATTCAGTGTTTGAATATTAAACAAATTCAATTTTTCGACATTCGCCGCCACAAAATACTAAACAAATTTCAATCCTCTATACCGCGAGAACGGTGCATCGGATTAAAATTTCTCAAGAGACATGAAAATTAGCATTTTTTCTAAGCTTTCAAATGTCGTAAACTGCGTTTTAAAAATATTGATTTATTTCCGACATGCGCCTGCGCAAAATTGAAAAATTGAGAAAATCCAAAATTTCGGCACTTTCGAAAAACAGCTACATTTTGTTTTGCCTTTTTTCGAAAAGATCACCTCAAAATACATGGAATCCATTTTGTTTCATCTAATTACAATTTAATGTAAGCTCAAAACCCGTAATTCAATTCGATTATAAGGCTCTAAAGCGCACAAAAGGCGTTCAAAATTACATTAGGGAAGTATATTTGCATTCTTAATGCCAAGGTGGACTATTAAAAAAAATCTCAGCTCGGCATTTATTCAACTTCGTTTTTGAACTGGTACTACTTTATTAATTTTGCTTACTAAGTGTAGATGGCGTTACTTTCGGACTCTTGAATTCGAGGGAGTAGAAAACCGGTTTTTCCTCTTTATCTGCAACGAACAAAATTTGTATTTTTGTCTCATTCTTCCCTTAAAATTTCTACTCCCTGAGATTCAAGAATAGGTACCCAGGTGTACGAGCGAATTTTACGTCTCTACAGGTTGCAATAAAGATTAGAATCGAGAATGACGAGAATATATATTTCTTGCTGACGAGTCCTAAAAAGGACACAAGGATGAAACTGATACAAGAAAGACATTCTTCTTAAAATAAGCATAATCAAAATTTATAAAAATAATTTTGTACCTCTGCTGTTTTTCTTTGGATATAATTAAATGCCTGTTGCGGTATCAGAAAAAGAAGTAGTTGTAGGAGGGAAGCGGTCGCAGGTATTATTTTTTGACACATGATTTTGAAATTTTCTTGTTTTTCTTTATTTTACGCGCTGGTCACATTTGAATTTGGAATGATCTTTCTTTATTAAGAAGATAACTAAAAATATAATGCTAATTTCGTACTTACCGTTTTTTAAAGATCCCTGGCAAGATTTGACTGAGGAATATGGAAAGGGTGGTTATAAGAGGATCGTTTCTTTAAAAAGTAAATATCCCCATCTTAAAGTTAGCTTGGCTGTGGGAGGATGGAATGAAGGTTCTGCAAATTATTCCAAACTTGTTGCTGATCCTCAAAGAAGAAGTAAATTTGTTGGAAATGCACTCGATTTTGTAAGGTTAGTATATATAAAAAAAAAATAAGCCTAATCTCTAGAACTATTAAACCTCGATAGTTGCCTAATTATTAAACATCAAACTTTAAACTTATATTATAATATATGAAAAGCACACTATACTATCTATTACAATTTTTAAATTATGGTGACATCGAAGGATTATGGTCGGCCATCAACAATGTATTTCTAGAATTACCCATAATTCTCCTATGCAGCGGAGTAACAATTATTCGCGATGAAATGCTTTAATTGACATGATTTTATTGATTTACGTTTAATATTATTTAATCTACTTTGTATGAAATGTCTGAAAAAGTTGACAAGAAATGGGAATTTTTTATTATTAATTTTACAAAAAAAAAAAAAATTATAAAAAGTTCTGCAATAATAAATCAATAATGAAGAATTAAATTTATAAAATATTTAGTGGTATACAGAGAAAATAAAAAGTGCATTTAAATGTAAATACAGAACAAAATGTAATTTAAAATATTGATAGGAATTAAAAAATATGGCCTTCTAATAAAAAATTTTAAGTTAAAAAAATACTATAGATTACACAGCCCCACAAAAAAAAATGTTCCGACTTGGCGGTCGGACATATGTATTCCCATGTATTTTCCGATCCCGAGCTCAGAAATGGCCCTCCACGTCTTGAATTGACCCCAGGGGCACAAATGGCCTCTATATGGCCTGAAAGGTGGATTCCGGGATCAGGCGTAGTTGAAGGTGCATTCTAAAGCCGAAGTCGGGTTTGTAGTCGAAAAGTTCACGGACAACTGGAATTCCCCGTGCTGGCCGGGAAAATGGCCCGGTGGGGGCCGGCAAATCGTGTTTTGGACGTCGCAATGGCATCAGTGGTATTTTTATGTATTTTGAAATAAATACCGTGCTCGAAAAGTTTATGGCCAACTGTAATTCCCCGTTTGGGACCGGGAAAATGACCTCTTAGGGGCCGGTAAATCTTGTTTTGGATGTTGCAATCGCTACAGGGGTATTTTTATGTTCTTATTTATGTCCTAGTTCTAGAACTCAGACTGTGCTCGAAAAGTTTATGGCCAACTGGAATTCCTCCTTTGGGACCGGGAAAACGACCCCTTACGGGCCAGAAAGTCGTGTTTGGGACGTAGTAATCAAGTGGTATTCTCATGAAAATTGAGTGAAACCAATGTTCTTCTACTCTGTGAATAGATTTGACGTCGAGACGGTTTTATCACGCTCTGTTACGGCCTTAATTCAAGAATTACTACTATGTGATAGTTTTCCCTGGTATCTAAAAGATCCCGAATGCCCCATCCACCGATTCTAATGCGTCTATTCTTTACCCATGTATTCCTCTACACTCGATTATTAAGTATAAAGAGTAGTTTAAACGATACAGTATAGAGTCTCCGACTTTACTTCCTCATACGGAAGTATATACATACAGTGAGGTATACAAGGACCTCTAATAAGACACAGTAGTCTCGATTGTGTGAGGAAAACCCTCTCAGATGACGTTCAGGCCGGAGTTCCGGTACACCAGGTCTCCGGAGGTACGTTTTCGTGACGTAATTTGGATTCCGCGTGCCTAGGAACTCCCATGACGATTTTCAATTTGTCTATAGCGATTGTGTCTGGAGAACCCTCGGAGACGACGTTTCGGTGCACTAGGTGTTCGGGGATTGTTTTCGACGTGAAATTTGGAAATTTGAACATTATAATTGTGATCAACGACCTCGAAAACCCTCAGGAACTCGATTTGGGCCAGTCCTGACTCTTCCACCTTTCAGGCAATATAGAGGCCATGTTTGGCCCCTGGGGCCAATTCCAGACGTGGAAGGCCATTTCTCAGCTCGGGATCGGACATATGTGTTGTTGTTGTGTGAGAGATATGGCTATGGCTTCGGACGGTGTCCATTTGCCACAGAATGTTTAAATAATAACAACGGAATACAGAAAAGAAAGAAAGAGAAGTAGTGTCTTAAATATCTAGCTTAGTGTCGCATATACATTTAATTAAAATATCGAGGATATGTTTATCGGTGCTTGTCAGAAGGGATGTCAAATTTACATATGTCCGACCTTTTTTTGTGGGGCTGTGTTATTTATTACATAAGATAAAATAAAAATTAAATTAAAAGTAAATATACATACACGCATCACATATAAATCAGTAATCAAGAATAAAATAAAAAATATTGATTTATGCTGAAGAATCCTCAGAACTGGAATCCTCTGAGACATTGAATTCTATCACTACCTTTTCGATTACATTGTCCACCATCCCGTCCAATCTCCACATTTTGTCTTCTTCCTTGATGACGTGGGTTACGGCATTTGTCCAATCTTTTTTTCGTATTCGTGCCATTCCGATTTCCAGTAAACGTCGACGTCACTAATTTTAAATATCACGTTTTCACGAACAACGTAATCCTTTACTTGAGCCCAAATAAGCTCTATCGGATTCAATTGGGAATGGTACGGAGGGAGTCTTAATACGGTTATATCTCGAGCAAGAGCCAATGTATCTACAACATGCTGACGATATCTGTCTCGATGCTATTTTATTATGGTTATAAGCTCCCCTTTATCCATGTCCTCAGAAAAGGGAATTACCTTTTGTTGCAACCAACCTGGCATCACCGCTTTTTTAGTGGCCATAGTTGATAGACGTTCCACTAAGCGTTTGTGATATGAAGGGTTATCAAGCACTATCACTGAATTTGGCTCAATCTGGGAAAGTAGGGTTTCAAACCAACCTTCAAAGCGTTGAGCGTTCATGCCTTCGTGATAATTCCTCGTTTTTTTTTAAATAAAAAAACTAAGGCACTGTCGTTTAAAAAACCACTTTCACTACCTATGTGAACGACAATTAGTCGCTGTCCTTTTCCAGTGCCCAGACAGCACAAATAGGTCCATTGGACGTCCATCCGATATACAATTTTGTATGTCTGGACTTCCAATGGACCTCCAGTGAAGTATACAAATGGCAAACTTCTGACAGTTCATAGGACGTCAAATTCTGGATTATATTTGGACGTTCAATACTGGACATTCTTGAGAACGTTAACAGGCGGAAATTAACTTCAACTAAACATTTTTATAAATAAACCCTGAAATAAACTAAAAAAAAATGTAATGACTGTCACAATACGAATATTAGTATAATGGGTTGCCGAGCGATAAACGTTAAAATTGTTTAAATTTCGTTTTATTTTTATCAAAGGTTTTTTTGAGGCTTCACTTCGTTTATCTGTAACGTATTAGTATAGTGTGATAATAATAAAATAATCATTTTAAAAAATGATACGTACTGAAAAAAAGAGTATTTAAATTTTAATGATGGTTGGGTATGGACTCCAAGAAATATGTGCATTATTTGTGAAAACAAAATTTTAAATGAATTCTGAAACAGGAAGTGTGAAGCTAGTAGAGACGTTGCCCTGAGTACTATTGCAAATCCAGGAAGTATCTACAGTTACAGTTACCTAGCAACGTGACATCACGTACCATTGCAATTTCGTTTCTGCACATGCGTTGAAAACCTGTACCAATATCTAATTTCACCGACTTTACCTATATACTATTTTTTAGATTTTTTAACTTATGTGTGTACTGATTCAATGTCTATTTTGATATTATATAAATTTCGTGCCTTCTTTTTTTCAGAAAATATAATTTCGATGGCCTGGATCTAGATTGGGAATTTCCAGGTAAACGAGGTGGTGCTAAAGAAGATAAAGTTAATTTCCTGTTATTAGTTAAAGTACGTATTATACCTGTTGCTTAGTTCTTAATTAATTAAGTGGACTGTATAAAAATAACTTAAATATTATAAAAAAGACGATTAACATAGGCAAAAAAAAACAGATCAACCCTATACGAAATTAAATATGTAACTGATATATAAAAATATACAAATAACCTAATGGTTCGGTGGCGACCGACGCTACCTGGTAATATCTGGGGTTTGCCTATTTGTCAGACCACCCAGTGAATTATTCACATATTATAAAAAATATTTTAATTATTTATGTAAGGAATTGTTTAGAAATCTTCTAAATAATACTCAGAATAAATATTTTTATTAGATCAAGTTTAATACAATGACAATTCTCATCACACGTCCATCTAATCTATTTCCCTGGATACCGCTATAAGACATCGTATACAGGATGATCTATTACAACACGCCCCCTCCTTCAAAAATTCATCACTCCTGTGATGATATACTCTTAGGTTTGATGCATGGGCAACTTCTTCCTTTTGGTCATTTACGTAGTGGACATAAGTTAAAACTCCTTCCATGTACTTTGTACCTATGACTTTAAAGGGTCCCTTTACGACAAAATTTTTCCCTATTTTTTGACTTCTTACTAAAATAAAATCATTCACTTTCACGTTCGGGGGAAGGATTTTCTTATTTTTATTTGCTTGTTTCTGAATGTTTTTTTTATATTTTAATTGTTCTTCTAAAGATCTAGGAAATTCTTTTAGGGGTCCATTTATATTAAATTTTTTATCAGCATTTAGGATTGTACTCTTTCCAAACAATTTGTAATTAGGTGAACATCCCAGGAATTCATTATGGGAATAATTGTGGTGTCGCACGGCGGCTTCAAGGCATTTTTTCCAACCACCCCTAAAATCCTTATAACAATGCATGTATGTTTTTATTTCTCTAACAGTTCGTTCCGCTAATCCGTTTCCAGCCGGATGGTAAGGAGAAGTATGGACTAGTTCTATCCCCTTCAATACAGCCCATTCTTTAAATGTTCCAGATGTTAGAGCAGGTGCACAGTCTGTGACGACTGTTTTCATATCATTTAGGAAAGAAAGTTTACTAAAATAGCTTTTCAAAGCATCACCACTTTCTTTTATTGCCTTGGCACTTACATGTCTAGTGGCTTCATCTATCAGAATAATAAATGATTTTGTAGTTCTATTTAAATCTGATTTTTTTTCTATCTCCGCAAAGTCAATATGAACCTTTTCATAGGGATTCTGCGAACAGGATGTTAGATGTGTATAATTTGGTTTGGGATAATATTTAAATTTTACTTTTTGACATATTTCACAAGTTTTTATGTAGTATTTAATATCCTTACTTAATCCTTTCCAAACAAACCGCTTACTTATCTTATAGTATGTTTTGTAATATCCATCATGGCCTCCAGAATCAGGATCATCGTGGTAAGATTGTAAAATGTCTGTCTTTATATCTGCATTCTTTACAAAAAACCTTCCATCCTCTTGTTTTTCCAAATCGTGTATATTCAAATTACACCAAAATGTTTCCTTCACCTTTTCAGGAAAATCCACGCACAATCTGGAAATTGCATCACTGTCTTCTAGTTCTTTGCAGGGTTTGTGGTTCACTATCATATCGAAACTGCTTAAAAATATTTGCCATCGGGCTAACCTATCTCTTAAAGCACCTGTTGACAAAATATATTTTAATGCTCGATGATCAGTATGTACTACAAATTTTCTTGATTCCAACAAAGTTCTAAAATGTTTTACTGCTTTTACAACCGCAAGACATTCTTTTTCTGTAACAGAATAATTTTGTTCATGTTTATTAAAGGTGTAGGAATAGTAGGAAATTACTCTAAGTTGTTTATTTTTTATCTGTTCCTCATCTCTTTGGTATAGAATAGCCCCACAACCAAAATAAGAACTATCAGTACTAAGCTCAAATTTTAACCTAGGATCTGGTATTCTTAGAATTGGTTCTGATGTTATCAATTCTATCAATGTTATAAAAGATTTTTCACATTCATCAGTCCAAATAAATTTCGTATTTTTACATTTTAATCTGTCAAGTGGTCGTACAATTTTCGCATAGTCTTTTATAAAATGCCTAAAATGGTTTGTTAATCCAATAAAACACTGCAAAGATTTTAAATCATAGGGTTTTTTCATATTTTTTACCTTTTCAATAGATTCATTTTTCATCTTCTTGATATCACCATCAATTTCCCTACCAAGAAACACAATTTTGGGAACACAAAATTTACATTTCGGTAGATTTATTTTAAAGTTGTATCTATTAAGTTTTTCCATAACTTCTGTCGAAAGCTTAGCACACTCGTCATAAGTGAAACCTCCACACATTATGTCATCGATGAAGACTACTACATTCTTATCGAGTAGTTCACCCAAAGCTTCCTGCATTATTCTTTGAAAATGTGCACTTGAGTTTTTCCATCCAAAAGGAAGCCTTGTGAATTCATAATGCCCATCTTCTGTTACAAACGCCGTATACTTCTGCGTTAATTTAGATATACTTATATTCCAAAAACCATCCTTCAGATCAAATTTTGAGAAAAATTTACATCCACCGAATTTTTGAATGATTTCATCACCGATTGGAAATGGGAATGGATCTAATTCAGTTTCCTCATTAATTTTCCTATAATCAATACACAGGCGAAAATCCCCATTAGATTTTGTGTTCAAAACACATGGAGAAGCAAAAGGAGATATTGACTTTGTAATTATTTTGTTTTTAAGCAACTCATTAACCTTATTTTTTATCCATGTTCTTTTGTTTTCTGAATATCGATAAGGTTTCAGCTTAATAATTTTTGAATTTTCTTTTAAATTAAAATCTATCTCAAAGATTGATGGTTTCGCATCATTATATTTTAGCAAATTCGGAAATCTTTTGGATATATTATCTTCTGTAAATTCAATTTCTTTTTCTAAGTTCAAATTCAGTTTATATATTTTCAATTTATTTAGTAAATGGCGTCCTAGAAGTATGTCAAAATTCAAATCTTTCACTACTGCGGCCATAAAAGTTGTGGGCAGTTTATTGATTTCAATAGTTACTTCAGCACTAAAAAAACATTTGGTTATTCCAGCTAAGCTCCTTATGCAAATATTTACTTCATGAATAGGAAATTTGTTTTTATTAACTAATTCCTCATCTATCAGATTAATATCTGATCCAGTATCAAACAGTACTTTCACTTTTTGGCCATTTAAAAATAAATACTCAAAATTATCTCCACTTGTTAGTGAATAACTAGAATACATCTCAATATTATTTATTTGATCTTCAAATTCAACAGTACTAGAATTCAACACATTTTTAGTTTCACATTTAATGTCTTTTTTATTGGTACTTATTGGCTGACCTTGCATTTGAAAATCTCTTCTTGGCCACTGTTTATCAGGATATTCACCAATCATTAAGGATTTTAGCAGCTGAAGAAGTTCTTCTTTGGAGTTGATGATTTTTCCTCTTAACTGTTTCTGAACATTAACTGGCAGACCCAGAATTATCATTGCCACTAATGAAAGTTCAGAAATGTTATTATCTGCCCATTTAATTAATTTCTGTTTTTCGTAAAAGTATTCCAGGATATTACTATTATAATATTTATAATTCAAAGCTTTCTCCCATTTTAAAACAACATTTTCATCAAATATCTTGATAAAACTAAGTTTCCAATTTTCCCATGTATATTGATTTAGTATACTATCTTGGATTTTATCTTCGTACCATTTTAATGCAATGCCTTTTAACTGATTTCTCAAATTAAAAATTTTCTCATTATCAGTAATCCATTTATTATATGAACAGATATATTCATACGAACTGAGCCAAGAAGAAGGATTCTCACCTTGACCGTCGTATTGAGAAATTTTTATGGGATCTGCTTTAGTTGAAGTGGCAAACGTCATCCATTTTGTCATTAGCTGATCCAACTCATTTTTTCCAAAAATAATGTTGTCTTGGGTACCTTCATCTCCTTTTTCATAGTTGATCTGGATAATTGGTTCGTTTTGCTCTGACTGCGCCATATTGTAAGGAATTGTTTAGAAATCTTCTAAATAATACTCAGAATAAATATTTTTATTAGATCAAGTTTAATACAATGACAATTCTCATCACACGTCCATCTAATCTATTTCCCTGGATACCGCTATAAGACATCGTATACAGGATGATCTATTACAATTTATAATTGAATTTTTAATTTAAGGAATTAAGGGCAGCTTTTAGAAAATACAATCTTCTATTAACAGCTGCGTTTGGTGCTGGTAAAGATACTATAGATGTAGCTTATGATGTAGAAGGTCTTTCAGTATATTTAGATTACATCCATATGATGTGTTATGATTACCATGGAGCATGGGATAAACAAACAGGAGCCAACGCTCCTTTAAAAGGCACTGACACACTAAATGTGGTAAGTACATCCTTAATAAAGGACCAATTTTTGTTTTTCGTTGCTTATAAAAATAAAATTGATTCACGTATTATACAATCAATTTCTAAACGCTTTTTTTAAACTAGATGCTAGTAATCATCAAGAAACTACTTTTAGTTTTAGTAAAATTAAAATATTAATATTAGTGAATATAGCAGGTAGCACAAAAGCTGATGAAGAATTTGGGGAAGGTGTTTTAGGCAACTTAAAATTATAAAAAACAGTGTCTAGTGTAATATCTTTGCAATTTGCCTTCCAAATAATACTAAATAAATTACAACACTTTATTCTTAGAATAAAACGAATAAGTACATGTGCTTCGAAAAGAGGTTAAAACATGAAAAGTGATGGCAAACCGCCAAGGTGCCTAACCAGCTGTGCCTTCTATTAATACGGTTAGACAATTACAGCTGGTTGAGCACTTACTAATGGGTAGCAATAGATGTCACATCTACAGTGGCGAATTTATAAAAAATAGGCTTGCTAGGCTGTAGCCCAAGGCGACAAATTTTCATAGGCAGAAAATTTTTACTAATAGCGGAGTAACAACTTTCCTAAATTTCTTATCTATCTACTCGGTTCTCGGTAAGTTGTAATGAACATACAAATTATTTTACATTTCTACAAGAAATTTACAACTTCTTTCCGGCATCAAACATACGTATTTTCTTATTTATTGATATATCTATTTATTTAATAATAATATGCAGAACCAACTCTCCACATCAGACCCATTATAACAAATTAATTCCTCAAATTTGGCATAATCGACCTAAATTATTTTGTTAAATAAAAGTTTCGAACTGACTATGCTTTATTTTATAAAATAATTTATGTGGAAATCATTTAAATTTTAATTTAAAACTACTACCTACTACTAAAAATTACAATTTGAATTTACCGCCATCTGTCAATTGTTATTTTAGTTCCTACTCCAAACACAAGATGGCGCTAATTTGGTTTAAAAGTCTAACATTGGCGTGGGGTCTTTAGAAGATACGTGCTTTGTGATGTCATCCATTTAAAAACAATCGACATTTTTATCAAATTTTAGAATTTCTTCAACATTCAACGCTACCATCTTGTCCTCTGTTATCAGTCTTTTAAGCTCTCTAAAATAATGAATTCATAGGATATGTTTGTTCGTATGATGCACAGAAACACTCACTTTCTGTTATGGTTGACGACAAGATCCGTGTACCTTAGCATCGGTAAGGAAAGGGAGGAAGAAATATTTTGACTTACAATCTCAAAAAGAACGTACAACTAAGCTTAGTCGATGTAAGAAGTTAGCTCAGACACAGTTTATAGCTTAAAAGAATCAGTTCGCTCACTCGGACCAATTGGATGTTCCAAAATTACATCCACTCCAGGGATACAATTTCAGGATACGCAGAAGACTGCTGTTTGATTATAGGCGGTTGTCATATCATATATTGTATTAGACATTCCAAACAAATGAACTGCCAGTGGGAAGATTTGATATATCCAAGGGTTGTGACATACGATGTATTCTGTTTACAATACGTAAAAATCATGATTAATGGATTACATTTAAATATTTTATGTCAAACACAATAAAAATAAGATACATTTTTTCATAAATTGGCAGGCTTTGTGACTATTATTTCGAATAAAAAAAACTTTCAAGATGCAAGACTATGTCACAGCTTATACAATATTGTAAAAGCTCACAGCTTATACAATATTGTATAAGCTGTGACTATGTCTCTACCCCCTTAGATATACCAGACCTTCTCACTGACAGATCGTTGGAATGCTTAATTGGTAATAGTAAGAGAGCCCACTGCAAATTACGATCGCCATCTGATAATAAAATGAAATATGCTCCAAAGACATGTAACAACATTATACTTTACCAAATTGCACCTGTTCCAATCTGTAATCCAGAGCAAAGTGGTTAAAAAAAATTATTTTATATTCAAAAAATTACATAAGACATGACAGCAATAATTGTGTTTTCTCTGAAAATTACATTCCTAATTCATTGTGAACCTAGCTTTTAAACCTGAATTATTAATATTTTTACCTAACTTTGGCAGAGATAGTCAATAATAATTATGAACTCTTGTTAGACAATCCTTTTAAACCATAATCATAGTAGTTTTTTTGTCGTTTCTATGACAACCTGTAAAAATGAATCACTACAATAAGCATACAAATAAATTCTTAAATCCGCAAAAATTGATTCATATTTTTAATGATTTTTACCTAATAATCGTGTGTAAATGTTTTTGTGCGATGTTAAGAGGAAGAAAATGTTTTCCGTTAACGATATATATTATATCAAGTTATATTTGAATATGTTATTATCTGGATAACTTTAAGGGCAAACAAAATTAGCGCTGTCATGCCTTATGTGATTTTTTTAATATAATTTTTTTTTTTTTTAATTCTTTGCTTAGGATTGGGATTGTCACAGGTGCCATTCGGTAAAGTACAATGTTTTTACAAGATTTTGGGGTATATTGTATTTCATTATCAGATGGCGGTAAAAATTTACAGTGGGCTCTTGGGCTATTATGATTTGATTCTGTATGCGCCAGGGATACAAATCCTAGTTGCGCAATGTATAAACTGGAACATTGAGATCAAAAGTGCCGACGCAGAGTGAGCGAACTGATTCTTTAGCTATAAACTGTGGCTCAGAATAGTGGTAGAAAGAAAGCAACTAAATTATGTGTTTCTTCTTTGCATTCTTCGGCCTCCGCTCAACAGGAATTTGGTAAAAATATAGGGTTTTCAATAAAATAGGTATGCAACCAGGATTACGTACGCTTAGGTATGTACTTAGTACGTATTTTTCTGTACGTACTATTGTGTACGTACCCAGACAACACACCAAATCCCAGATATATCCACAGAATATCTTTTGTGGATATCCAATATATCCACAGGATATCAGAAATATTCCGTGGATCTAATATGGATATCCAAATGTCCGTCTATATCAAAGCATATTAACCGTTGAGTAGCGACATAAAGCGTCGGTGCCTTTGATCTTGGGTGTTGCAAATTTTCTTTCTCTCTCTTTTGACGTTATTGACGGAACGACACAGTAGAACACTGCTCGAATTATGAACTGGTCTTGAATGTGATGTTTACACTGTTCGACGTAATTTGAAGTAAAACTCTGTAGTTTACATTTACAATAAAGGTTTGGTCATTAGGCAGTTTTATATTTATGAGTATTTAATGTAGTAAATATAAAAATATATATCACTACTATTGATAAATTTCAATTTTTTTACCTACGTCCGGATGAGCTAGAGGCTTGAAAGTTGGTAGGTGCACAGGGTTTTGATTTTGGATTACAATAGAAATTATTACTTATGGACCTTCTTATTTATTAATGGAGTTGTCTCAAACTTTAAATTTCGCGTTGTTTAAACATGTCGCTGAATATAATTTTTGACTAATAATGCGCCCCGTTACTCAAAACTTGTAATTCACGTTTAAAGTGTTTGACAGAGGTAGGTATCTGATTTGACAAGTTATTCATACAACAATGTGGAAGTCAGTGTCAAATCTGATGACAGGTATAAAACGAACCCTTTTCTAAACAAGAAACCCTCGAAAAAACCCATTTATAATAATTGTTATACCTGGTACATATGCTGTATATCCTGTAGATTGTATAGGAAATATACGAAATAGGCCTTATCACATCAAATTTTCACAAATATGTTCCAATAAAAATAAGATTATTATTTGATAAATATCAAATATGTGTAGTTCAAGGTACTTACCTCTCATATTCTTCTGGAAATGAAAACAGTGATTTGTTATCACCAGACCTTGTCGAGCAAGGTCGATAAGCACATGCATTTCCTGGCATAATGAAAAACCCACAAAACCTCAAAAAATCTTAACAAAAACACAATTAAAGAGCACTAATAAATCCACAACAACGAATTTCTATATCAGCTGCCGGACTAAAGTGAAAGGGGTTGTTTACATCTTTAGAAGACGTCTCGCCTATTTCGCGTCGGCGCACTAGAATTCGGTTCCCCAGCTGTCGCTACTCAACGGTTAATATACTTTGTCTATATCCAGAATATAGAAGATATCCTAATGGATATTCAGCAAAATATCTAATGGGTATCTTCCAGAAAATACAAGAAATCCCAGAGATATCCACAGAATATATTTTGTGGATATTAAATATATCCAATATGGATATCCAACCAAATGTCCGTCTATATCCCAGGATATAGAAGATATTCGGATATTCAGCAAAATATTTTATGGGTATCTTTAGTAGCCAATGATTATTGAATAACGTCGAAAGAAAATAGCAGAGGTAAAAAATATTTTCAACACTCAAAATATTTTTAACACTCTGCCTTTGATTTGGCCCACTAAGGAGAAAGTCATCCTTATTAGGACTCTTTAGCAATAAATGAAAATTCTCGACTCCAGTCTCTAATGGACTCTGATTAGGACACAAATTTTAATCGAACTCAATTACGGCGGGTCGAGCATGAGTAGATGCGAAAGTGGTATCGCCATCTATACTTAGTAAGCAGAATCAAATAACATCTAGTGGATATCCACGATGGTTTGCATTCGCGCCTAGACTTTGATATATTTAGTGGATGTTCATGGGATATTGAATACACCTTAAAAAAATTAATTTTAAATATCTGAACGGTACTATTAGCCACAATGGCGTAATTTTTTCATAATTTGCTATATAATTACTATTATTTATGGACATTTAAATGTCTATAAATTACATCTCATGGATATAAAATATATATCCACCATGGATTGGACATTCAGTGGATATTGGGATGTTCAGTAGATATCCAAAGGATTTGGTGTGCTGCCTGGGTAGAAAACGGAACGTTACTAATTTTCCATATCAAAACAGAAGGCACCGTTTTTTTATAAACTGCAGCTCGAACAAACTTAATATATACGTCTTTTCAGTTGAAGATTTCCAATTAGGTTCTTCATAATTCAACACTTAAGTATTAAAATATACGAAAAAATAACGTAATTATGACGAATTCTAAGTGATGTTTATTCTATGTTATCAATGCGACGTCAAATTTACTTTACTGATTAGGATATTGTATTTAGAATAAATTAATACAAAAAAAATGTCTGTATTGACGTCTCATTAACGTTGCGAAAACGACGTCAAAGTAACGTTATTTTATCTATTAAAATCACCATAAATCCAAACATAATTAGAATGACTGAATAGGTATTCTAAATACCTTTCAAACGAGGTGTCACTTGCCATAAGATCCCATTTAATATCATTGATTCCAGCCGCCTTGTGACGTCATCGATGACTATAACGTCAACTTTTAGCACTTAGAGAGGTTACAATAGTTCATTTATACCCTGCAAATTTTATCACTCTATTACCGTTCAAAAGAAAAGAAGGGGAATTTTGAGAAGCACTGTATATAAAAAAAAAATTTCGAGTAAGATGTATTTGGAAAATGTATGTTTTTAGTTCATTCTCTAAACATTTACAGGGGTGATTTACAAAATAATCGAAAAATCCTGTAATAACTTTAGGTCAGACGGGAAAGTTATATAATGTATCAGATTTTTAGTTCATATACTTTAAATTTACAATGGAATCAAAAACCTTGTTGTGAGAAAAACTGGTTGTGAGACAAATTTGAAAATTTGAGAACTAACTAGATTTCTTAAAGCCTATTCAGCTAAAATATTATCATCTATTGAACACTTCCAGTCATACCGGCAATAGTGGTGTAGCGGTCTATCGCGCTTATATTCATTTATAGGCAAGTTTATGAGTCTGAGACTGCTGGGTTTCGAATCCCAGACCAGACCATGTGGATTTTTAATTAAATTGCATGGTTCGGTTTAGGATTTGATGTGTGGCGTCTTAATAGAAATTCAATTTCTGTTGATATGACATGCAGATTAAAAAAATTCGCCATACATTACCGTCTCGATGATGGTGGGTGAGGTTTTCCGGGTTTTCCTCACCTGTAAGTCAAATGGCACCATCAATCATCTTTAAGTCGCCCCGGAGCGCCACGGCAAATAATAATAATAGCCGTCCCTTTCCCCGGACAAGCTCAGCTTTTGGGGTTAAAATTCACTCGTAAGGGGGTGAATTAGGGAGAGTATTATTATTATTAATAGTGCCACAGGCCTTTCGGTCGAGATGCAGTCACTTTAAATAGTGACCCTATATGCTACCTAACTTGGGGAAATAAAAGAGCAGAACAACAATTAACAATTTATTAACGATAAATAAAAATATCCAAAAAGTCACAATAATAAAAAGGGTCTTACCAAGGGCAAAACATCTAAAGGCGATGAGGGTACGTCACGTCACTTCTTCTATTGAGATGCGAGACGATGATGAGACTCAAACTAAGAGTACCGGATGAGACTCCGGCAGAGAGTCTCATTATTGTTCACCCAGTCGATTTTTATATTAATCGATTAATGTCACTACGTGTCTAGTCTAATGTTATATTTACTTTTATCATGGACGTACTTATGAATTGCGAATTGCATCTAATGTTTATCAAAATATTATTTAGAATATTTTGCTAAATTATTTAATTTAACGAATGTATATTTTATATATAGGGTGATATTTATTGTTTAGCGTGACTGACTTTAAATACAACACCCTACATATTATTACATTTTTGTATTCTACTGAAGATTCCAGTTAGATTGTATGTAACTTATCCTATACCTAATTCTAATCGTTTTTGACATACGGGTATCCCACGTAACCAAATTGATGTCACCAATGGGCTTTTATCTTTATCGGTTGTAAGCAGGTAGATTTAGGTTAGATTTACCCCAGAACACTGTCTTTAAAACCGTCGAAACATTTTTATTTCTAGATTCCATAAATGCTAAAATAAAAAATCAAATAATTCCAAGTTGCCTAAAATATAAATGCCCTGGCAGATTCTCGATTACAGATTCATTATTAAAGATACTTGCTGTTTTTTATAGGTTGCCTTAAACCCCTTTCTCAAATTCGTAATCATCTCTCCGACTATAAATATATTGTTTTTTTTTTTTATTTAGGAATATACTATTAACTACATGCTTAGTCTAGGAGCACCAGCCAAAAAATTAGTACTAGGAATACCTTTATATGGTAGAACATTTTTAATAGATGAGCCTTTACTAGAAACATCCAAGAGGAAACCAAAATTAGGCGCTCCTGCTTCACATCTAGGTTTCGCAGGTCCCTATACCGGAGAAGGTGGTTTCGTCGGATATAATGAAGTACGTATTGAATCGTACAATCAGTTTTAAAAATATGAAAATACCCATCTGTCACTAATTTACCACCTAGCCTACCGAGCCGAAGTATTATTAGCACAAATCTGTGGTGTTAGTATACCGACTGTCTATGAGACCAGAGCCACGTTAATATTTATTTTATTTATGAAATTTAGATCAAATTTGGGACAAACATACTACACAATTGAAGTCACAAGTGGATGAAGGGCCTATGTAACATTTTTTAAATGGTGTTTTTCTGTGAATGAAGAGCTTATGTACCTAACATTCGTTTAAAATGTCTTCCGTCACAATATATCATCAAATATAGAAGTTGCCAGTGAATAAAGGACTCATGTACTAGGGAATTACTGCCAGACAATAAACTTAAACTTGAACACGAAATATCTCGTAAAAATTATTTTGCTACATAGGCCCTTCATCCACTTGTGTCTTCAATTTAGAATTAGCCCTTGTTGGATTTGTATGTTTCTAACAGTTGAATCCAACAAAAATTATAAGTACGGCCCTAAGGCGCGCTTACCAAATGGACTGTCTCCTGCCGGTGCTAGTTGCAACCATCTCCATATGGACAATGAAATTCCAACACTTTGTAAAAAACAATTTATTGTGTAAAAACGCTGCACGACAACTTTCAAATTTGTATATATGTATTTACATTATTTTTATTTTACAACTACCTACATGCTTAATACTGCACTAGGATCTTTGCTCAGAGAACTTAAGTGATTTTTATATAACATAAAAGAATTGTCATGATGCCAGTGAGAGCCGATCTGTATTTCATGAAAGCATGAACCTCTCTGCCGATTTGTGTTGTTTTAAAGAGAGAGATACACATATGATTACGTCACCTAAGCGTTAGCCTTTATTTTTTCGCGTCGGAGTCGTTTTTGGCGCACTCCTGTCACGTACACGCCCTTGTTCTTGGCCGTCAACAATGAACACCTGGGTTCGCGAGCACAGGACCGTCTTTGATATGTTTCAAATAGTTTTGAAACAGCCCTTATACTTAAAATGCGCGACTTTTTAAACAGATATTTTGGATTTTCGAAATCTACGATTCAAATTACATACGACAATGTTATCAAAATTTCATTTTATCCAAACAATTTTTTTCGAAAATTTTTTTGGGCGTGGAAAGTCATGAACTAGAAAATAATGTTCTGATAGCCTCGAATAATTCGAAACAAAAGCTATTTTATCAAGTTCATTAAAAAAACCTAAAATATAAACCGTGTATGCAAGGGAGAGTCTTCAACAACATACCAGTATGCCACGTAACCAAATTGATGTCACCAGTTGGCTTTTATCTTTATCGGTTATAAGCAGGTAGATTTAGGTTAGATTTAGCCCAGAACACTGAGGCCTCTTAGGTCTATTGTATGCCCCGTAACTTTGAAGAGTCCTGTATCTTTGGTTAGTTTTATTAGGCTCCCTACCAAGTGTTCCTGTGGCGCTTTTTCTGGTTATAGATCGAAAAGGCGACGTTGCCGCCTAGAAAGAGCTTCGCATTTGAAGATAATATATGAGGTTTCAGCAACCATGCGTGAGTTTGGTCCCTTCAGCATGAGCTTACTGATTATGTGTCCTCTTATCTGTTGCCAGATATTAATGTACATATCACCTGGTAACTTTTTAATTTATTTGCTTAAGATTCAACTACTAATTCTATTATACTATTCAAAGCATCATAGACTTCCCTAAGCCGATACCTCAAAGGACTAATCTCATCAATTCTGCTCGACCATCTAGGTTTAGAAAGTGTTTTTAAAATGAAGTTAAAAATATGTTTTTTTAAAACAGTCCAACGATTAGTAGAGGCCGAAAAAAATTGTAAAGTTCTTGAACTGTAGAAAAGAATTGCCAGTTAAAATTTGTATTTTTTACTGCATCATTTAGTTACAACCAAGTTTAAACTGTGGTTATAACAAGGTACGAAAATGATTGGATTTAAATCGAGAATATTTTTTTGTAATCCGACATGCTTGCCTCACATGTTGTGGCACCATTATTGTATCCCTGACCTCTCATATATAAATTTAAATCATGTTTTTTAAAAGAATTTAGTAGAAATTTTTTTAAATCCTCAGCTCTTGTGTCTTCTATTATAGCAAAATGTAAGAAACGTTCCTCAACAACAATTTCCCATGTTGTTGATTCTAAATTTACGAACCTGATACAGACAGAAATTTGTTCTTGATGGCCCATGTCCGGAGTGCAATGTGCAATCAAGAATAATGGAAAAATATTTTGAATTTTTGACCATATTTAAAATATTTTCTCTTAAATTATTGCCTAATATTTCAATTATTTTATTTTATTTTGAATTTGGTTGCCAAGATGATTAATTTTCTTGATCTGGTTTTGTACCCTCTTAGTATGTTCAACCATAATAGAATCGAATTTGGCAATCATTTCCACACATTTCAAAAAATTACCGTTATTATTTTGAAATAAATAATACTCTCCCTAATTTACCCCCTTACGAGTGAATTTCAACCACAGTATTTTCAATAGGAATTAAGAAATATACGTTTTGATTTGAAATTATGAGTCAAGGTAGAAAACCTTTTTTTCAATAAAATTCTGTATGTACACGAAAAAAGTAGAACGCATGGAACGATTCATTTGTTTTATACAATCAATTATTGTACCAATATGTATACGTTATAGTCTTAGATAAAAGAGACCAGAGATATAACATACACCGGTGTTTAACCTGCGCAAATGTTGCCAATTTCTAAAGAAAGGTTAACGGAGTGGGGGAACTGGGTAGAGACCCGAACTCTGTGCAAGGACCGGACTTTGTTTATTAGCATCATAATGAACTAAGATTTATTTAAAATATATGTTTAATGGAATTTTGTATTATGAAATAAAATTAACGTGATTTTTTAATATCAAACAGATGCACGATATTTTATGTAAAAAGAAGACCTATATAGAATATTTCGTTAGTGCTTATTTACTACGGACTTTTCAGCACGATACTACAGTAAAATGTTGAAATAGAATATTGTTAATAGAGCAAGAAATGGTACTCATTGTCTACGAGTATTATAAAAAAGCATGTGCGCAGGCGAATACTGCAAATCAAACCTTTTGAGTCAAACATTATATTTTTTCTACGGCTATTACATAATATTAAAAATTAGCCAAAATGAGAAAATGCTGTTTTGCATTGTAACTTCAGCTTCTTTCTTTAGGAATATTAATTAATATAGAGGATGAGTGATTGTCGAAATAAATAATCGATCATTGAAAATAATCGATTATTTTCGATCAATCCATTGTTTGCAATCTATTTGTTTCTCGTATTTCCTTTAAAATAGACTACTTGAGTATCTTTTAAAAATCAAAAATAATCGATTAATTAAAAATCCAATTAACCGATAAATCAGTGTTTACAAAAAATTATCGTTTATTTTAAATAATCGATTATTTTCAAATAATTTATTTATTTTCGTTCATTGTAACAGATTATTCGATAATTATTCTATTATCTTTGAAAAATCGAAAATTATCGATAAAAATTGATAAATCGAAATATTAATTATTAAAAAGCTGATTAACAGATAAATCGATATTTCTAAAAAATAACCGAAATATTGGTTATATAAAATAACGAATTATATTCGATCAATCAATTATTTTCATATAATACCTTTGAAAATTTGAAAATAATCGATTAATCGAAAATAATCGATTAATTAAAACACCGATTAAACGATAAATCGATTTTTCCAAAAAATCGATTATTTTCAATCAATCGATTATTTTGAATAAATCTACTTTCTTTTTGTATTTCCTTTAAAATCGATTATTACATTATCTTGAAATTTTAAGTTATTCATCCTGTATTTTATCTAATATTCTTATAAAAATACTACTAATCAACTATGCTTCTTTACTTCTTATTTACCTATTTAAAAACAAAATTTCGTTAGCAACAATGTCTATTTACTTCTTATTTAAATTTAGTATATTACATTACGAGTGTGGAAAATCACTTTTCACACAAGTGATGTACAATATTTTTCCTACGACCACAAAATAATTTCATCAAAAAATGTAAAACCAGATTATTATAATAATTAAAATGTATTTAAAAAAATAATCAACAATAATCGTATTTATTAAATTTTCATAATTTCTAAACAAATAAAAAAAAATAAAAAAAAAATAAAAAAAAAATTCTGGCACAGCCAGGATTCGATCGCGGTCGTTGGACGGTCTCAAATTGCAAAGTTGATGCTCTAACCAACTGAGCTAACAGGCCTTACGGTAATTGATTGATCTAATCGCTTATGTGTTTAACCAGAATAAAAAGCAAATATATCTTAGTTATTTTAAAATTATTTTAAAAATAATTGTTAAAGATAAATATCTAGGATCTAATTTACAATAATTTACCAATCATATCGATTTTAGTATTAATATGGACATTACATAGATCAAAATAGAAATTATGTGTTTGACATTTTCTGACAGGTACTGCGGAAAGTAGCATATTCTCACTTGGGTGGAAAGTAAATTCTTATTCATACGCGTGTGATATAGGGAGGGCACTTTCCATAGGTCTATATAGTGTGATATGTGTCACTTTCCTAAGTGGTCGTAGGAAAAAATATTTAAAATTTTACCCTTTTGTAAATTTATGTAAGTAATACGAAATCTGTTTTCTGAAATATATATTTGATGAATATTTATTGAAACCCCTTAATGCGGATCTGATGTATTCAGCTCAAAGGATTATGGCGCTTTATGTCAAAACGTTAATAAATATTTACCGCTGAAAACGAATTTATTTTTTATAATTCATAACATTGGTACTTGTATTATAAGTATATACAATTTCTCAAGATACATCGTGGCATTTTGAGTTTAAAATTGAATAACTAGAGTACTTTAAATTGCTAAAACACCAACAAATAAATCAAAAAACAGCTGTCAATGGTGATTGAACTCAGGCGGAGGTGAGCGTTGAATGGGAAATCGGAGCAATTCGGGTGGCGTCGTGCAAACAATGATTTTCAATTGGTGGGTTACTTGGAGTTAAAACAGACAACATGCGCAGTGTGCAATGTTACATCTTCGGTGTCTTTTATCTAAGGTTATAGTTATGCTCATCCTTGTCCTCTAATTCGTATTTAAATTTAATAGGTTTGTTTGGAATTGAAAAATACCTCTCTGCACTGGAAAACATACTGGGATGAAGAAACGCGTACACCTTTTGCTGTATCGAATAATCGAGTAATGGTTTATGATAATGAACAATCCATTGCGGAAAAAATCCATTTTGCAATGGAAAAGGGACTTGCAGGTGCCATGGTTTGGTCAATAGACACAGACGACTTTCAAGGAGATTGCTCAGATGAAGCGAATGAAAACTTTATCAACTATCCTCTAATGAATTGCATCAACAAGTCGATTGTAAAGAGTCTTGAGGAGTTGAAGAATGTGATAAGCGATAACAAAACAGATGGGGACGGTAGTAGTTTAGCGACAAGTAACATTTTAGCTATTATTACTTTTCTTCTTTTTACTTATTTCTTATAGATGTACAGAACTTAATTTACCATAGGCCGGAATTTGTAAATAGTTTTTTTTTAAATATTTTTCCACCAGTTAAATTAAATTATTTTTTACTTTATACAGTATGTAAATAAACTTTGGATACCTATTATATAAAAAAGTCAAAAACAAAATCCTGCATATGGTTTTTAGTCTTAAAATTCGTTTGTGATAAAAGGTTATATTTTTTAACCGGTTGCAATTTGTACTGTGTAAGCTTTAAACAATTTAGAGAAAAGCAAAATTAATTTTGTTTTTATTAAATTAATTTTATAATTATTTATTTGTTTTAATACTAATTATTATCATTCGCATGAGCAGTGGCGTAACCAGACATTTTTTATGAGGGGGGGTTTCTGAGAGCTATGGGGGGTTAACAAACAGTTGATAGCGATCAGCACCAATAAGATAGTGAAAACGGTGACACGAAGCCATCCGTGGGGGGGGGGTTCTGACCCCCAAACAAAGTCCCCCGTGACTACGCCACTGCGCATTCTAATATATTTATACAAGAACATTAAAATGTATGAGTCTGATATAATTTTGACAGATCTTGATAATATATACAATCTACATGACATGAACGTAAAACTCAAGGACGCTAAATTGATGGTTCCCATGGTGGAACCGAAAGACAATGAGAAAGAAGTATTGAGACGATTAATTTTCAGGTTTGTAAAGCATTGGCGTTACTTAGGCTAAATTTAACAATTTATGTAAAGAAGTCACTAAATTTTCCATTAGTTTATTTATAAAAAATGTTTAAACGCCTTCCATCCAAACAACGGAGTGCTCCAAAACATCATGCATAGTGGACGTGATCTGTCAAATGAGGGCTTGTACAGAGTCGCACTAAGGAATGACCGGAATTTTATTATATTTTTGAAAATGTAATATCATAAATATTAAATTATGTGCTTTAGCAATTTCGTCGTTAATGTGTTTATTAAAATTCGCTTTTCTCAAAAGTTCTACTTTTTTAGAGATTTTCTAGCAGCGAATTTTTTCAAGTTTTCTAGAATGGTATGGGGCGTTTTCTAAAAAAATACACAATTCTCTTTTAGGTTCGGAATTATGTTACTAAACCAATTCTCAAACTATTTGCTGACCATCTCCCTATGATAGTCGCCCGTCTTCTTCGACTCAAAGGCCCACAAGGCATCGGGAACAAAACCGGTTTCGCTTCGTATATGAAGTATCAAATTTTTTCCTTTTTTTTAAGGGATTTTTTTTGTTTTAGTTTAAACAGAAGAGTCTACAGCTTATTTCATTTTTGGCGACAATCTGCCACAAATTAGGTTTCGAAATTGCAGAACGTATCCCAATAACAGAATAAAGAAGAAGAAAAAGAAGTTTTGAAATGGCAGCTACTGAAAAATAATAAATTTAGCAAGTTTTGGAATAAGGCAAAAACAAATGTAAGGTCTGCTTTTAATGGAAAAATTTGGTGTCAAAATTTTAAATGTTTCCAGCTAACATGCAATAATTGTTTTTTCATGTATTTAATAAAAAAAAAAACGTTAAATCTTACTTAAAAAAAATACGTGTGGCACTCGGGGACTGCCGCGGTAAAGCTATTGCCTAGCATCTTTTATCAACTTATGCAATTATAATTTATTTTATTTATGCAGTATTTTTTTTTTCTTCGATATTAATTCAAGTTTTTTTCTTTGATATTAATTCAAGTTACACTTTTTGAGCGTGGTGACCGATAAAAAAACAAATTTTTCTCTTTTATTGAATAAATATTGTTTAAAATATTTTTATTATCTTACAATACATGTAGGTTATTCAGGAATTTTTATCATTGAAACTATAGGTTTATGGTAACTGAAATAAGAAACATAAGTTTGAGACTTGATATCCTCTAAATATCTGGAAAATACCGCGTCAATGGTGGTCCCATATTTTGTTGTGGATTCTTGTAGATCTATATTCATTTTCAAATTCAATTTTTCCGAAATTGTGTCTAAAAGAGATAGAATCAGTTAGCAGCTAGTCTACACGCATACGTCTAGTCGCACGCACACAAATATCGTGCCGAACTGAAACGACGTTAGACGATGCACTGCTTTCAACGCCGCACCGCTGTGCCGGTCGGAGTGGGGGGTGTTAGGTTTATTTTCGTTACGGAATTTCCTTTCCGATTTTTCGAGGGAGTTAGGTTTATTTTCGTTACGGAATTTCTTGATTCGGTCGCCGCGCTCAAAGCCCGCGACAAAATCTATGAAATAGCTTAATAATTAAATAGTTAACACTGATAAAATAAAAATTAATATTTTATAAATCTTCCAAAAAAAATTAATATCTAATATTTACGCCAGGCGGGAACATTTGTGATACCAACTTATTAGAAGCCAGAGAAAGCTCTTCTAGTTCTTGTATTACATAAATGTTCCAGTCCACAGACGTTTATTTAACTCCGCTTCATACTAATACGAATAGGGTCGGATAAACTTCCACGGCTTTCAACGCCGCACCGCTGTGCTGGTCGGAGTGGGGGCGTTAAGTTTATTTTCGTTACGGAATTTCTTGATTCGGTCGCCGCGCTCAAAGCCCGTGATAAAAGCTATGCAATAGCTTAATAAGCATATATGAAATTGCAAAATTATGAATTTCGGGATCACAATAAAAAGAGTGCAAATTTGACACAATCCATATTTTTTCATTTAAATAAAACAGAATTTAATATATTTTGAATATATAGACCAAATATCAACTTTCATTTAAAAATAGGTTCATTCTTATTACCTGAAGGGTTCTTCAACCAAGTTGAGAGGCCACTAAAAAAGCTTTCCATAACGAATTTATGGATTCATCAACCCAAATTTAGGACTAACACCCGTATGCATAGTCGATCGCCAGCGATTCGCCGGCGTATCACCAGCGATCCGCTGGCGAAAGCCCGAAAAGGTGGCGACTTGCTGTAGATTGTCACCGGCATCTCTCGCATGTTATTCATGATTCATTTCTTAAAACTCAAAAAACAATGAACGAATATCAAATTTTTCCCCATAAAAGAACATGAAAACTAATTTTTCTTATAAAATAACATGAAAACTTGCTAGAGATAACATGCCGGTGGCAATCTCCAGCAAGTCGCCAGCGATTCATCTCGGCAGTATCAGCAGCGATCCGCTGGCGATCGACTATGCTTAGTGTGGCCTGCGTTTCCTACGTTTCATCTAGATAATAAAATTTTCTATTCTCTCTTCTATAGGCCCATATTTTTATTAAATACCGTCAAACGGGGTGAAGTCGATCAATCCTCCAAAAATAAAGTAGTAAAAAAGCAACATTTCTCAACCTGTAAAATATGTGAAATCAAAGATTTGCACAGCCGATTCTGTAAAAACTAGGTCTGTCCGAGCCCCTTTAGGTGATAAGAAATATGTTCATGAAAGGGTGTCCATAATCAGATATGAATTTTTTTTATGCGGTTTCAAATGCAATATTTTTGTGCCGAAATAAAACAACGGGGTGAAGTGGATCACTTGGTTTTCGCTGTATTTTGTGAGGCTGTGAGGTTATGTTTAAAGCAATTTGTTTTTGGGTGATTTTCTCATGCGAATTCGTATGCTAGCATATGAGGGGTATCGGACAGGGGGGGGGGGGGACGAATGTTATTATTTTTTATTTTTTTTATTTTTATAGATGCCACGAAAATATGTGAAGAAGCTGGGTGCTTATGGCAAGAGAAACTACGACCCTGCGTATTTAGAGAGAGCGCTGGATGCAGTGCGCAAGGGAAGACTGAGCATGCGAAGAGCGTCAGAAAGGTTTGCAGTGCCATATACGACACAAAACGATCACTTTCATGCGGAACATCCCTTGACATATGATGGTCAACCTGCTCTTGATGAACATTTTGAAACATTGTTAGTGAATGCTTTGCAAACCTGTGCTGAGTGGGTTTTCCCATTAAAGTCCATTGCTATAAGGCGAATCACGCAGCAATATTTAAATGAACGCGGCATCACTGAAAAGCGATTTATGCCAGGATAAGGCTGGTTTAACGGCCTGATGAAGAGACATCCCCGGCTTACAATCAAGCTTGCAGAGAATTCAAAGCGAGTGAGAGCCGCTGTAACGAGATTATTGAGGAATATTTTCGAAATGTGGCGGAAATTATAAGGGATATCCCACCACAAAACGTTGTGAACTACGACGAGACAAACTTATTTGACGATCCCGGGGCTGTAAAAGTGGTAATGAAGAAAGGAAGCAAACACGCCTACAGGACCCTTGACACCACAAAAAGCAGCACACCAGTTATGTTCGCAATAGCTGCTGATGGAACTCGTGTACAAAGCTAAACACCGTTATGAAGGATGGAAGGAGGGCGGATTACCAGGAGCAATGTACGTTGGGCGTGTCGGACCTCTCTCTTGCAACGAATAGTAATCAAAGTATGTGACTTGACGTTTTAAAAATGTAAAGCTTTAAAACATCATATATGTAAATTAAATATCTGTCAGAAGATAACACAGATCGTTACGGCAGAATCGTTCAAACAAAACTGACCATGCCGACTTTGTAGTGATGTGCCAACAACCCACATACTTTGATTATTATACGGGGCAAGAGAGAGGTCCGACACGCCCAACATAGGGCGCGGCCATTTTGATTCCTATGACACAGTTTATAGCTAAAGAATCAGATCGCTCACTCTGCGTCGGCACTTTTGATCTCAATGTTCCAGTTTATACACTGCGCAACTCGGATAATACAATATATGACAACCGCCTATAATAAAACAGCAGTATTCTGCGTATCCTGAATTTGTATCCCTGGAGTGGATGTTATTTTGGAACTTTCAACTGGTCCGAGTGAGCTAACTGATTCTTTAGCAATAAACTGTGACTCCAAAAATAATATTCACTGACACTGACAGCAGCAAGCAAAATATCAGGTGCGTTTTAATCATCCGCTTCTGCTTATCTAAAGCATTCTTTAAGTATAATTTGTTAGTGGTTAGTGATTTTCTATATTTTTATCACTAATCTAGAGTTAAGTGTATAAGCTTTAAATATAGGGGTTCCCACCGCAGTTACCATTTTAAATATATTATTTTGTATAAACTTCCTGTCCTGTGTTTCTCTTGACTATACCCTCTTTTATCTAGCTCTTCCAGAATCGCCTTTAGGGTAAAAGGTACAAGATGATTACACCGTTTAGATTGAGTAAGGTGGATATTACTGGCGTTAAGGTTCTTTCAGGCATTACCCCATTTGTAAGTGA